CCTCCGGGTCTGCTCGGGCACTTAGACGCAGAACATCCTCTACAAAGCTGGTCAGGCTTTCATTGGGGCCCTGCACCCTTGTTTGAAGCAGGTCCTCTGCTCGCTGGCGACGATGGTGGTTAATGAATGTTCGTTTGAGTTCGGCGACGCAGGACTCCCATGTGGGGAAGGAGGCTTCGTGGTTTTCAAACCAGTGCCTCGCAGTGCCTTCAAGCGAGAAGTAAAGGTTGTGGAGGCACTGCTCAGTCGTCCATCCGTTGTGGCGGGCTACACGTTCGTAGTGTCGCAGCCAGTCTTCGATGTCTTCGTGGATCTCCCCGTGGAAAGGCGTCGGAGTCCGGGGTGCGACGGGCAGGACGACGACGCTGGCGGTGGACGGGTTCTGCGACGACTGGCTGTCCATCGTTGGTCTCGTTGGCTGCTTAGTCTTGGGCGGCAGAGGTCCGAATTCCGGGTGTAGGCCTTGGGTGCGACGACTGAACCGGATCTCGGAAGTGCTTTCGTTGGTTCTTCGTGGACTAGGCGTCGGACTTGGACTGCGGGCCCTCGGAGGGGTACGCGGCAGGGGCATGCGGTACCCAGCACCTCCACCAAAATGTCACGGGTGGTGACCAAAAGAAACAATAAATACACAGAAAGAAATAGACGTTTAATGTGGCGAACTTGTGCCAAAAATAAAAGGAAATAGAAAAATAACAACAGAGCGTCGCGGGCGTCGAAGGCGGCGAAGCAGCAAGGTCGAACGCTGAGGCGAAAACTGACTCGACAAGGTCGCGGGCGGCCTCTTATCTAGAGTGCGTCGCTATCTCGAAGATTCGGCGAAAACGGCTCGAGCGTCGCGTGATCGGGCGAGAATGAACACGCACTTTCTAGAAAACAAAAGCAGGAATAAATGAGAGAAGTTACATGCGGTACATGAATAAACGAGAACTTTCTGGAGGTCCGTGACTGAGCGTTGCTTTCTCAGCCCTGGGCGCGGCAATATTCAAAAACACTTCTGCCATATTTGAACTACTCAAAGCTTGCCCTGGTGGTATAACTACTATATTTTGTTTAGACGTTTTGAGGATTAAAAAACAACGTTCCCATTATAAATCAGCCTTTTAGGCGTAAAGTATAAAATAAGCCAGAGCTATAGGTTTGTACTAATCGTTTCATTTCCATGGTTTAATCATCTTTACATCTTTAAAAAATTATTTTAATACATCATGGATCCAAATTAGATCACTCTAAAAGATTATATTTCGTATGTGTATCTCAGGGGCTCAGAAGTCATCTAAGGCTTCCGCCCCTCTCTAACAAGTTTAATGCTTTTATAAATACATTTCAAGTAACGGCCCGTCTAAATAATTCAAGAAACGTGTTGTACGCTCTATCCATTATCAACGAAGTTGGGTTTAGTGTCTCTTGATATTTTCTTTTTAATTTAGTATGTAACAAATAAAATACGTCAATGATGACGCTGATAGCGTGGTGCTGGTGGGGTGAGTAATCGCATTATAACTGTTTTAAATCTCAGGCCAGCGCTAATGAAAACTTTTGCGAACTCTTTATTTCTTACAGAAAGCAAACAGCAGTAATATAATCCAAACCTACAATGTCTCTACTGTTACATGGGCAGGTCCAGCTTCCTACAAATGAACAGTTTATATAGGTTTTACAATAAACCCAGGAACGTATACTTTTAGCTGTAGCCTCAAAAGTTTGCCATCTTCGCAAAACCTTTATTTTAAATCACTACAAAAAACATATATTGGATGGCGGTTTATTCAACGTCAAACGCCGGGATGGTCAAACACTCCACAAATACGATGGCATTAAGGCTAGATATTTTATGCACCTTTTTAACGTGAACAGTTAAACATTCGCCCTAGTATTCTACTTCTGAGGTGGAAATTGTGTTTATAAGCAATGCATTACCTTTTTTATTTTTTTTTAAAACACATTACCGCGATGCTATCAAGCATGTCGAACTATAGCTATCTTCCGTATCAGAACTCCGTCTCCTCGAATCAGGCATGATTATTTTTATTTCTTTTCCTATAAAACACGGGCGGAGTTTACCACAATGTTGTCGAGCCGCCTCGCCGTACTGCAGATGTGAATGACGAATTGCTCGCTCGGCTCCCGGGCCTTTGTTCTGGAGGGGCGGACTGTCCACTGTCACGGCGCAGCAGACGAACGCTGCCAAAACCCGTTCGTCTGACAGCGCCGGTATTCCTGCTGCGATTCGACAGCTAGACGTCCCTCGATGCAGATCGAGCGCCGAGTGTCCATGCCGCAGTCCTTCGGCTGAGAGACGTCCCGACTGGGAGACGCTCCAGCGACAACCATGGGTACCCCCGAGGTACTCTGCCTGCTTCTACTCGGCTGTTTGGCCGCTCATGCCGACATCAAGATTGGTAAGACAATCGTCGAACACTACTAGTGATGATCTGCCAACATACGTAGTCTACTAATTCGCGATGATTGATAGTAGCATTTTCTCACACCAGCAATTTTAGTATCTTTTTAGAGCGCAGCTCTTAGGGGCTCGTTCCCGGCTTGAGCGGCGTCGGCGTCGGCGTCGGCGTCGGCGTCGGCGTAACCGCAACCCTCGTAACCCTCGTGAGGGTTACGAGGGTTACGAGGGTTAATCTCATGAGGGTTACCCTCACGAGGGTCACGAGGGCCACGAGGGTTACTTACCCTCGTAACCCTCACGAGGGTTACGAGGGTTAGTTACCCTCAAAAGGGTTACCTTCGCGAGGGTTACCCTCACGAGGGTTACTTACCCTCGTAACCCTCACGAGGGTTACGAGGGTTAGTTACCCTCAAAAGGGTTACCTTCACGAGGGTTAACCCCACGAGGGTTATGAGAGTTACCCTCACGAGGGTCACGAGAGTTACCCTCATGAGGGTCACGAGAGTTGCCCTCACAAGGGTTACTAGGGTTACCCTCACAAGGGTCACGATGGCTACCCAGGTCACGTGACCCCGGGGGGGGGGGGGGGTCACGTGACCTGGGGATACCCCCCGAGGTCACGTGACCCCCGTTGACGTCATAGCCACTGATGACGTGATCAGTGACGTCACTGATGACGTCACCGGCATCCGAATCGTCATCGTCATCATCACTGATGACGTCATCAGTGACGTCACTGATGACGTCACCGGCATCCGCAACGTCATCATCATCATCACTGATGGCGTCATCAGTGACGTCACTGATGACGTCATCGGCATCGTCACGTAACCCCCCCGACGTCACGTGACGCCCCAAGGTCACGTGACTCCCACAAGGTCACGTGACCCCCAAGGTCACGTGACCCCCCCGCCCCCCGAGGTCACTTGACCCACCCCCCAGTACCCTTCCCTCCTCCTCCTCAAGAGCTGCGCTCTAATTCGGCGTTACAGGGAGTTGTAAACGGCTTTCATTTTTTGTTTGAAATTTCTTTTTGTTTTAACAAATAGTTTTACGGTAAAACCATATGCTAAAACTCCCCAAATTGGTATAAATCACCGTACATTAGTTGACAGCTATACACGTCTTTCGTGCAAATATGATCTAATATTACAAATTATATAGCAGTCTTTCGAAGTACTGTTTTGTGTGTCGTTGCTACCAGGATCACATCTGGGGAATGCAAGATCTGTCTTGTGATGAGGTGAAAGGCACTCCCCCATTAAATAACTGCCTCAAATGTGCAAATATTTTGTTAGACCACGTTAATACAGTTTAATCACTTGTCGGTGACACTGAATGCAAAAACACATGTTAGCCGAGCATTGCTAAAGGTAACCACAACATTACATGGTGCAGGCATGCGGAAATATTGATCACGGGCCATAAAGATCGCGATACATGCTTTTCTTTTTTTTAACCAGAGGGCATCTCTGACGTCCCGGGCTCATCAAAAGATAAAATGGTCTGTTTGTCTGACTATCGTGTTTTCTTTTTTCACATTATCGAAATTAGTAAGACCGTAAACCTATACTCTAACGGATTAATTGATAAAGTTAGCGTAATTACCTCAAATCTACGTAACCGGAGCTAGCGCTTACGCGCTCACTGTACTAGCGCAAGCTCCTTAAATTAAATTGAGCTCTCAATACCACGAGGTTTCCACCCGCATCATCTCAAAGTTATTTGAAGTGTTTTTTTACGCCTTTTTAATGACGTCAACGTTTACTACTGTTTTTTTGTTAGTATATGTCTTGTTGTTTTCCAAATAGATAAATAAAGGCTGCTTGAATTTTGAATTTTTGAAATAATTTCCCGGGCGACTTCTTAAGTTTTAGGGTAAGCAAACGACTAAATTTTACTTTATAATGAAACATAAAGAAGTACTTTATTTAGGGTCTCTGACGAAAGTCCATGAATGCACGGATCATTTAATACAAATTTAAGCTGCTAGAGAAAGGTTTCCTGGTTTTGTAAATTAATCCCCAATTCATTTCTGGGATGTGCGACATTTCCACTGTTTGTTTCGTACGTGATTCCGTATAAGCGCCTAGATATTTTACGTCAAGAAAATATTTTACGCAATCGGTTTTTCCTTTTTTTTATAAAATCGAGTAAAAAGTGTGACACCATGCAGCGGGGCTCTCGACGACAGATGAACAACGTCTATTACATTCAAATACACTTATCTCTCAGTAACAAAGGCAATGACGAGGATGACGCTGGTAAGATCGATGCATGACTATGCACTGTCAAAGCTATTCCTCTCAATGGCCTGCAATAGACAACGAAATACAAATTCTAATTATGTGTGCGCTTTCTTGTCAAGGGTATCAAGCACTTCGGAAAACCTGTCCAACCTACAGTAATGGTACTCTCAAGGGTTACTTATTGGCGTTTCTTAATCAAATAATTAGCTCATACACACAAAGCGGTTACCATATGCACATCTATACACACAAAGCTCTGTACAAATAAAGTTTCGGAAAAAAAAAACGCCGTCATACCTTAAAACGTGGTATGTCATTCGTCCACAGGCGGGATCTTCGAGACAGGCGATGACGTGCTCGAGATGGCGTTCAGTTCTGCCGTGGACCGCGTGAACACCATGGGACTGGCCGAGCCAGGAACGCAGTTCGTTGCCGCAGGCTCCAGACTCCTGGCACGCGTGGAGCACATCGAACGACTGGACTCCTTCCAGGTAATCAAGAAAAACATCTAAAGGCTGCTGTCGACAGCTCCTTTTGAAGGACCAAAATATCATTGAAGGAAAGGTACTTCAAAAGGAGTTTTTCCAAGAAAAGATCCTCCAAAAAGAGGTCCTCTAAAATATCTTCCAAAAGGATTTCACCTAAAAGAATCTCCTCCAAGAGGAAGTCCCCTAGGAGGATTAACGTAGAAATTTGGGCTATTTGGTACGCAGATATAATTAAAACATAACAGCGCAAATACGAGGACAATGTAAAAGGTAACCGACACGACACAGCGGCGTGTCCTGTAGGTTACCTCCCCGCAGGGGGCACCTGTGAAAGTAGGTGTTTAGTGAGTGGCGTCACAACGGACCCCGAGTCATGCGGGTTCGCCCGCCCACGTCTGGCTGTTCGTGGCATTCACGTGTCCGGGGAAAAGGGCATCCTCGTGGTTGAGTCGAGCCCGAGGTAGGCTTGGACCCTTTGGAGCCCCTCGGGTTCCAAAGGGTCCAAACCTACCCCGGGCTCGACCACCCAAAGGCTAACCTTGGGTGGCGATAGATCCTTTGTCTGGACCCACACTAGGTTATAGTGTCTTGGCAGCACTGATAGTGTAATGTCGTCAAAACCTTTATTGCTATGGCGCATTACATATCCCCCTGTTAGGTTCTGTGGCGGGTGGTGCGCTACAGATGCCGAACGCCTTCCCATTTCTTATGGGTTCCAAACTGAACAAAAAACCTGATCGGGCCCTGAAAAGGGTCCGGACCGAAGTACACGTTGTAGAAGCCTTTGCACCTGTGGAGAAGTTTCCTCGATGTCTCGTCACGCACTTTGAAACAGAAAAACCTTTATCCAAGCTATCCCCTTTCCTGGTTGCTAAGACTCTTGAACCTGTAATCGGGAAGAATTTCAAAGCAAAAAGAATTCCATCTGGAGATCTCCTCGTTGAAGTTGTAACCTGTCAGCAAAGCTCAGACCTGCTGGCACTCAACTCGATTTCTGACTACAGGATTACTGTATCACGCCACCGCACTTTGAACACTATTAAAGGCGTCATAGCGGAGGATGACCTATAATCCCCCGAGGATGAAATTGTCGATGGCCTTCGTGACCAAAAAGTCATCGCGGCAAAGCGAATTTCTTTTCGCCGGAACGGTCAAGAGATGAAGACAAAGCATGTCATTCTGACTTTTGAGCTGAAGGCGCTTCCGGAATCAGTCAAAGCGGGATATCTGAACTGTAGAGTACGGCCGTACGTGGCAAACCCTCAGCGTTTCTTTCATTGCCAGAGATACGGCCATAGCGCCCATAGCTGCCATGGAAAGACAACGTGTGCCAAGTGTGGCAAAAATGATCACCCTGCAGAAAATTGCTCAAATCCACCTTGCTGCATCAACTGCAATGAACATCACCCTGCTTATTCCCGATCTTGCGAAAAATGCAAAGAAAAAAAAATTAGAACACTCAAAGTTTAAGAGAACATTTCGTTCCCCGAAGCCAGGAAGCGATTCTCCTTCCTGCAGAAAAGGCCTTACTCTTTGGTGGCACGTGCAGGAGTGTGCCATCAAAGTCCTCGGTAGGAACCCAGGTCCGTCCTAATGACCTAGCAATTTCACCACCTCCCCCTGCCTCACAAAGATTCACTCCACGACTCCGTCTGTCGTTGGAATCAAAAAAACCACAGGGGCTTCCAGATGGTGCACAAGCAAGGGATGCCTCTGTGCTAACAGAGGAGAGACAAGAGGACAGGCGGCAACACAAGCCTCAGGGACAAGGCACTGGTGCCTCCTCCATTACAAAGGACGGGCCATCGAACTATGTGCCTGCCTTGGTTACTCAGACCCCTCCCAGAAGGAAGGAGGGTGTGTTTCGTTTTCAGACTTTAGGAGAGGCCTCGACATCTAAGGAGGTGCCCGTACCAGCTGCTCCCTCAGCCGTTCAACCTGAGGAGGAGCGGATGGAACTTGGTGAACCTCCTACCCCTCGTTTGGTCCCACCTGATGACGCTAGGCTTAAAAAGTCATCCCAGAAAAAGCTCAATCCGCGAGTAACCACACCCAAACCGCCCCACGGCACCTAGGGCAGTTTTTTTTTTTTTTTTTGTCGTTACTTTGAACCAGTTTTAACATAAACACGTATAGTTTTATACGGACGTGGAACTGTAGAAGTCTCCTGCGAAATGTTGCTGACATTCATTTCTTTTCTTGATGAGCTATAGCCCATCGCTGTGTGCTTGCAGGAGACATATCTTAGCAACATACATACAAATGTTTTTAATCGTCACCGCGTTTTTAGAAAGAATCTTGATTCAGACCACTCTTCTGGTGGTGTTGCCATTGTTGTAGGGAGTGGCATAGCGTGTGGGGAAGTGCCTCTGCGTACATCCCTAGAAGCAGTTGCGGTACGTGTTCTCGCTGGTCGTCACATTACGATTATGTCCTTTTATTTACCACCTCATCGTCAACTGCATCTTCATGAACTTAGAGGATTGGTTCAGCAACTTCCAACACCTTTTTTTAGTTTGTGGTGATTTTAATGCTCACAGTCTCACGTGGGGCAGTAAGCGCCTTGACTCTCGTGGCGCTGTTGTAGTAAGCTGTTTACTTTCCTGAGACGTATGTCTTTTAAATAATAAAGAACGAACATTTTATAGTTCCACTCATAATTGCTTCAGATCCATCGACCCCTCCATTTCATCGCCATGATTACTTCCCTGTTTTTCTTGAAAGGTTTTAAACAACCTTTTTGGGAGTGATCATTTCCCGGTTGTAATTGAAAGCCTCGTTCCTCTGCCGACTATTTTAAAACGAACCCCTAGGTGGAAACTGGACAAAGCCGACTGGGCACTCTTTAAGCTTTATGCGGTGCTTGACCCGTCAGTTCTAGCAAATTTGTCACCCAAAGAAGCGACACTGTATGTTACGGAGCATATCATAAGTGCCGCCCAAGACGCCATTCCTCGCAACTCCGGAAATTTACCCAAGAGGTGTAGGCCTTGGTGGAATGAAGACTCTGCCACCACAAGAACGAAAGCAGCATAGGGCATGGGATACCTTTCAGAGGTACCCTATTTCTTCAAATAGGATATAATTTAAAAGACTGAAAGCAAAAGCCCGATGGAGGCTATAGTTTACGACTCAGCGAATCCTTTGCGCTCAAAATGTTAGATCCTCTGCATCATCTCGGTTTAAGGCTTGCTACAGGTGGCTTCCGCACATCGCCCATTCGTAGCTTGTACGCTAAATCTAATCAAATGTCAAAAAAGATGACGAAGTGTTTCGACGTTGAAGCGGCCTTTCAGCGTTCTCTGGTATTTTTTGTCTAAATAATTGTTCAGATGCCATAACTGCGGGCTCCGAGGTCACTATCCACCGATCTTGGACCCGGCATGCCCTCCGGAGTTGGAGACCAACCGCCCCCGGCCCCTGTGAACAGTATGACCGAACCAGTTGCAATGTTCCAGGCAGTAGCAACCAACCCGCCATCCACATCGGTGGAAGGCGAGTTCACGAACGAGGACGGATCGTTAACACCTGCCGCTAAAATGACTCTCGACTCCTTAACCCCTGGGCAGCACGGACCGGACTTCTCAGATGCCGATAGTATGACAACTGACGATGAGGGCTTCAGCACCGTGATTTTCAGGAAAGCAAAGAAACAATTTCGAAAAGCCAAATCCGAATCCTCGACCAGTAGCACAATCGTGTCCATCGACGCTCCACCATCGACTCTTACGGTCATCTTCACACCTGTGGACCAGACAAAAGTCATCACGAACCTCAATGAGATAAAGCTAACAGACCTACTTGAGTCAAAAGCACCAGCCGGCATCATTCGTATTCGGACATCAGGACTTAACCTGATGTCCGTTGACACCCGCAACGCTGAAAGCTGCGCATCTCTGCTGAAAATGAGATTCCTGCTGGGAACTGCAGTCAGGGCGTTTGAACCTCGCTCACAGACTCAGGCAACTGGAGTCATTGAGGGGATCGATACCGGAATCGATATCGCCGAAATACGAGAACACCTGAAGACAGACAACACACCTATTGCCTCTGCTCACCGGCTTGGAACATCAACCACAGTTGTAATAACCTTCACATGCGCAAGCCTTCCTGAACATGTTCTACTGGGTCTGGTACGACACAGAGTGGAACCATTTGTGGAAAAGCCTATTCAATGTCATCTTTGTTTGCGTTTCGGACATATCCAGGCTATGTGCAGGAACTCACCTACATGCTCGCGCTGCTCTGGACCGCACCAGCGAACTGACTGCAACGATCGAACAACTGTCCGATGCTGCAACTGTGGTAAGCAACATGAGGCAACTTCACATCAATGTGCAAAGTGTAAAAAAGAACTGGAAGTACGTCGCCTTCGCCAAGTCACGAAAATGGACTATAAGACTGCTCGAAGCACTGTCTCGGACACCTTTGAGTCACAAACGGCGGGCGAAACTATGCATCAACAGAACAGCAGAACCCAACAGTCTATGCATAATCGACCTGTAAACACGAACAAAGCCAATACCAATCAGGAAAATGGTGCAACTTTATCTGCGTTGGGCAAGATGCCAGCCCAACATGAAAGCTTGACCCAAGTACGGGCTTTTCGAGATGCAGCCCACAACGTGATGGAGGTCCCTCAGGGTAGCAACGAGCACCCTAACACAAATGAAAGAGGCAAACAAGGAACGTCCTACAGAAACGCATTAACAGGAGAATTCTCGAGCAAACAAACAGCACCAACGAAGGAGCCAGCTCGGTCATCACCGACATCCTTTGGTATCTGGTCAGCCATCATCCTGACTGCGGAAAAATACATACGAGAATTCCTCGCGCAATGCACGTCTCCACTGGCAGGCTTTGCTCTGCAAGTATTGGACTATATTATGCCTCTCTTAACTAACCTATCCAGGTAAACAACAACCTCAATGCGCGAAAATGGGCAGCACATCAATAGAGAATCTTATTAAGGACTCAACGGTCTTCCAATGGAATGCCAGAGG